ACATTAATGAGAAGGGTAGTGCCACCGCCCAGACAGCTATTAGATTTTACAGGAACATCGCGAGACGGACAGTTTACCACATATGAACCAACTCCAATACCGAACATGCAATATTTACAACCGTCTATAATATTAGAACCACATCAACCAAATGTAGGAGCTACACAACAACCATTACCAGTTGCATCATCGAGCCAACCTACAATATCAGAATTACCAAGACCACAGCGACCAACAGAACCAAGAGGCAAATCAAGACCCAGACCAACACCAAAAGCATCGCCAGCACCACCACGACCTAATTTTCAAGAAGGCGGTTCGTCAGGTTCAGGAAGCAATGAAGAAAGAACACCACCGAGACCATCAACGCCACCACAAAATGAAGCCAGAAGAACGCGTTTAACCAGAAAAACAAATTTGAAGGAAGGAACAACGGAAGAACAAGATATGGTATCTCCTACATTAATCATTCCTAGTAAAATTGGAATTCAAAAATTGAGAGAAGTATTTGAAGAAGCAAATAATAGAAAAACAATAAACGCTACCACTTACAGAAATTTTAGAAGTGCATATAATAATTGGGTGCGATCTGCTGGTGATAAAGATATGAAAAAACAATATTTGCAAGAACTAAAAGAATTGTATAGAAAAAATGTTTATAAAAAATAAGAAAAGGATAAAAATCTTTCAATAAAATATTATTCTTTATTGAAATATTTTTGATAATGTAAAAAGTTTTAAAAGTTTTAAAAACTAAAAATATATAGTATTATATATATATGATAAAATCGGTTCAAGATGAATTATTTGAAATACTGTATAAACAAGCAAAGCAAGAATTAGAAAAGCTAGAGATTATAAAGGAAAGCAGGGAAAATAAAATTGAAGAAACAAAACAAAAATGCATTATAGAAAAGGAAGAACAGGAACATTTAGATAAGGAAATGAAATATTTAGAAAAACAAATTGAGCTACAAAAGGAATTAATAGAATTATATGAAAAAAATAATGTATAAAAAGTTTTAAAAGTTTTAAAAAGAAAAATATATAATAATACATATGTTGAAACTTGTTAAAGAAGTCATTACAAATAGAGACATCACAAAAAGCGAATATCAAGAGATCTTAGAACCTTTTGAAATAGAATTAGATAAATTATCTGTTGATTATGGAAGGAAAAAATACTTATTATTACTAAAACAAGAAAAGATAATGACAAATATGAAAGTTCGATTTAATACATCACCTGCCGATGACGAATATATTAAAATTATACGAAGAGAACTGAATGATTTACAGGGTTATTTAAAAACAAACACGCGCTATAATCCAAAAAATCTCAAATTTAAATATATATTATATGGTAAATGCTTAAAGAGTTAATACCATATAACAGTATATACTATATAATGTCAGCAAAGTTTTGCAACAGTTGTAATAGAACAAGACAGCTATATGATTTTACAGATGAATATAAAATGTGCAATTATTGTAGGAACCGTCAAATAAGATACAACAATGAAAACCGAGAAAAAGTGAAAAACAGAGAGAAACAATACAGGGAAACCCATAAGGAACAAATAGCAGAACGTAAAAAACGATACAGTCAGGACAATAAAGAAAATCTAGAAGCATATCGAAAAGAATATATGAAAATAATTTATCATTGTCCATTTTGTAATTATGATGTAAAACATTATAAAAAATCACAACATGAGAAATCAGTAACACATCAGAACAATGTAATATTAAAAGAGCTTGAAAATCTTGCAACACATAAAGATTAATCCGTGATTTTTTACAAAATTTTTTATCAAGATTTTTTATTAAAAACTTTATGATGAAAATTTGAAATATTATTTTTATGAAAATTTATAAAATGAAATTTTTTCATTAAATTTTTTATGAAGATTTTTATGATGAAAATTTTGGAAAATTATTTTTATGAAAACTTTGATAAATTTTCTGATGAAAATTTTTAATATTTTTTATCATAAAATAAATTTGATTTGTTTAGATGGATTGAAAAAATGATTTTTTGAAAATTTATGAAAATTTTTATTAAATTATGATATTTCTAAATTTTTTGTTGAAATTTTTAGTGAAGAATGAGCGAGGGTAGGATGTCAAAAATGAGCAAAAAAATATTGAAATGTTGAAAACGTAGGGTGGACCCTAGCAAAAAAAACGTGTAAGGCGTTTGGGCGGTCAAAAAAAAGTGGGGCGCACATCGTTCTAACTTCCCTCGCTTGTGCAGAACGCAGCTCGTGCCCTTGTTTCCTGCAGGGTGGGGTCGTGGGGCGCCAGCCGCCGCGCGTGACACGCCGCCTCGACAGAGAGTTCCGATGCAGAGTCGCCCACTGCAAGAAAAGTCCGAGTCCGAGGAGTCTGAAGCCAAGCCGCCAAGCGAGCTTCTCCCAGGCGGCCCAACGCCTGCAGTAGTAGCGAAAGCGACGTCTGAAGCGAAGGCTGAAACGAACCTCCAATTAAGTGCAGCGAAGAGGCCCTCAAAGCAGCCGCGACACGAAAGTGCGCTTTGGGCCAATCGGGTTGCAGCTCCTTGCACTGCTCAGCCTGGAGCTCCGGAATCCGGTACCCGAAAGGACTCCCAAACAAAAAACAAGAACAAAACAAGACTCATCCGAGCACCTCCGCCAAGGCCAGCTCGGTGTCCCCAAGCCGCAGCAGACAGAGAGAACCTCAGAGATTCACAAAAAAAAAAAGCACCGCCGCCGGAAAAGCGGGAAAAGCCCCCCCTAACCTCACGGTGAGCCAAGGGGCGGTTCGCTCGGAGGGCCGCTGCCTGCTCCTCGGTGCCCTGAGAAAACACTTTTGAACTCTATCTTGTCATTGTGATTGTTATTATTTTTGGTATGCTAATTATTAGCATGATTATCAATGATATTTATTGTTAGTATCATTGTATACTGTTATTATTACTATTGTTAGTATTATTATAACAGAACGGGCCACCCTGGGAGTGCAGTTGTTTGCGTATTTTACTCTATTATAACTGACTCTCTTTGGAGGAACCCCACCGGGCCCCGCCTGGCCGCTGCCTAGCTCCCGCAGGGCAGCTGCGTAGCTTTGCAGGGCATCGCGGAAGCGGCCTTTCGTCTGACAAAGAGAGAGTTATATTCATATTCATTTGACAATGATAATAACATAATTTACATAACAATACTAATAGAAGAAGAACAGTAGCCCCCCATCCCGCAGCCGGCCTTGCTGGAAGTGGGCTTTACCTTCGGCCTGAAGGCGAGCAGCTATAAGAGCGGAATAGCTGCGCTCTCAGAGGACCTGCAAAGACGCAGCCATGGTCGAAGCCCGTGCGCGCCGTCGCCATGCGGGCCGGCTACTGAGCCGCTACTGCGCTGCCTGTTGCTTGGAGCTTGGCCTTGATGCTGTCAAGTTCTTGTGCTTTCATCAAGACCTATAGGGCCTATATTTCACCACATGACGTGTTTGTGATTCTGATTCCTTCACAGCCCTTGTCTCGAGACGCACCGGGCTGGAACTGGCTGGCCACACATTGATCTGCTTGGATCTGCACTCTGCTCACTCTCAGCAAATTCTTGCCTGGTTGAGCTGCTGCGTGTACATAACCAGTTGTTGTTCAAGCCTCAACAACAACGACGACGATCCTCCTCCTCCTGCTCCCTGCTCTCCGGCTCTCCGCGCCTGTCACGCATTTCTGCTCCGCGGGCAAGCTCCGAGTGCTTGCGCCTAAACAGGAAGCACAGGTTTGTCACCTCTCGCAGTCTATATGCGCATGCTGCCGTCTATGCCCGGCACTCATAGTCTGCTTTCAGCAGCTTGCACTCCTTTGTCAGTTGAGCCTTGCTGGCCGGAGGCGGTCTGAAAAAACATCGCTCCGGGCAACGCACGCGCCTTCAGCTTTCGAGCTTCGCCAACTTCCAAACCTAGCTGCTGCTTCCGCTGCCCAGCGGCCTGGGCCGCAGAAGTCTCACCGAAGGGCCTTTGGACTAAGACGACCTTTGCCTCGACGGCCGCTTTGATGTCGGTGAACTTCAGCATCGTCTGCCCGTGGAACTTGTCCTCAAGCCCAAGCGAAAAGAGCCGACCACGTCTTACAAAAACGAGCGGGGGCAGGGAAGGCCATGGCCAGGCTCGGAATCATTTCGACACCGAGCTCATTCCGGCTTCAGCGCTGACCTCTCTGAATCTTCTGAACCGCAGTAGAAAAGCTATGGACGCATTGTTCCCTTTTTCCCCCGTCGCCAGTAGGATGGATGTGGCAGCGAGAAGAAGGTGCAGCAGACGAGCAGATCGTATCTGCAGTATCTGCGTAGTGTTGCACAGGTGCGTCGTTTGAGGCGTGTGCAGCGGGGGCAACCGGGCTAAGGCTGACGGCGGCTAGCGGCCTGGGGACGACGGCGTTTCTGACTGTGCAGAAAGCTTATATGCACCACCCGCAAAAAACACCTCATTTCCACGGACGTGACAACCCAAAAGCAAGCGGGAGTGAGAACACTGCAAAAACCCAGGAGGGCCAACCATCTTCTGAGCCTAAACCCAAAGCCGCAACTTGGTTTCTTGAAGCCTCGGCAGAATACTATGGTAGAACCTCGTGTCAGCGAGTCTAGAGAGAACCGCTGGCTTCCGAGCACACGTGTTAATTCGTGAAGTCAAAGGAATGCAGCAGAGCCTGATGTCACTGGCACATGGTTTCTGGTGTGTCCTCGCCTTCGTCAGGCGTGACACCAGGCAAGAGGAACTCAGAGTTAGCTTTCTTGATGCTTCGGAGACAGAGGCATGGCGCTTGTCCATCCTGGCTGTCCAGGGATGTGTGAGAAGCTCCAGCCGGTGATGTCCTTGCCCTCCAGCTTTTTTTCAGTGAGTGCCTGAAAACTGCCAGTATAGTTTTTTGAACTACGCACCTCCACCCACAAACAAAAGCGACCGAAGCACTGCATCAGCACGAGCAACAAGATAATGTGATGCATAAGGGTGCGAGAACTGTGCCACCAGCGCACCGTCATACCTACCACCTCTTGTTACACGAACGCGCCTGCGAATGCTGGTTCTGACTGATGCTTTACAGAACGATTGCTCACGTCCGATTGTGCTCCAGCCCAGCAAGAAGCTTCGGCATGCACTCGAAGCAAGCAAAAGACTCCTTCGCGTCTTCCTACACTTCTGCAGTTGTGGTATGAAAAGTGCTTTTCTATGACCTATGATGTGCAGCGGCCGAAGCATACCGAAGGTACCGTGCTCGATGTCTGCAGCTCCTAAACTCCACGTTGTTGTCGTGGACGGGATGGTGTTTGTGCTGTTGCACCGGCAGTGCCATGCGAACAGCCTCGGCATGAGTCCTCGAGCTCTGCAGTCTTCTGAGCTCGCTCGTCCACCTCTGTCCTGCGCAACTTGGGATTGATCGCTGCTTGGGTGCACTGCATTCGCTTAGCAATTCAACAAGTTCACAAGGTTTCAGCTCTGGCGGGGCGCACTGATGCTTGGCCACATCTGTTCGAAGAAGCTCGCAATCCCTGGCAGGAGCACGCACATCGACTCAAACACCAACAAAGACCCAAGAACAGACTGGTGATCGACCAATACATACACTGGTGACACATGGATCGGAATCAAAACGCACGAGCAAAAATTCTCATAAGCATGCTCGATCGCACAATGTCACCCCAATCTAACCTTAACCCATTGGTATTTTGCAGTTGCAACGACTCGCGACGGCATCCTGCAAACCACATATAGCATGCCGACAGATATACGACACCGGATGTACGAGAACCTCCAAGACTTGCATCATGCAGCTTTCGGTACACACACGCACGCACGCACGCACGCACTCGCACGCACGCGCTCGCACGCACGCGCTCGCACGCACGCGCTCGCACGCACGCGCTCGCACGCACGCGCTCGCACGCACGCGAGTTCGGCCGCCACAAAGTCTGAATACCGTGCCAAAGTCTGCCCGTCGCAAGTGTGGCCTGCGACCCAGGGGTTGCGCCACTTGGAGGTGGGAAGCCTGTGCTGGTAGTTGCCCTGTCCGACGTAGACGCAACCCGCCGGCACCAAGCCCTTGGTCACGACACGCTCCTTGGCCAAGGCTTTCACCGGCAACTTGTCGGCGGCCAGGACTTGCCAAGGCCGAAGTCCCAGCGAGACGGCCAGAGGTGCCATCGCCCCCAACCGCAGCGTCACGGCGTCGATGCGCAGCCAATGCTCCCTCCTGCCAGTCGTCTCCACTGACGGTAGCCTGTGTATGCGGACCACGGCTAAACCTCGCCGGGCTGCCCACCAAGAAGCAGCAACAGCAATGAAGAAGGCCAGCGGGGCTGTGACTTGCGCCTCTTCTTGACTCGGGAACCGAAGCTCGCCTCCGACCCAGTACGGTTCCCACTCCGAGGGATCATGAAAGTGCTGGCACAACAGCGGTGGCCCGGACGCAATCTCGTCGATGTTGTGGCGAAATCGCTGCGATCGGCATCTCGCCCCGGCGAAAACGCACGACGAGTATGGTGTGTCTTGCCAACCCCCAGCCGACGCAAGCTGCTTAACGGCTGGCGCTTCCCAACGCGCTGAACTGAGCGCATCCTCCAATACGCACCCGCACCCGCGCTCCTGGAGCAGCTCAACCTGGTGCAGGATCCATGCCATGGCTGCATCCTGGGTACTGTCGGCCGCTGCCTTGGAGGCGCCACTGGGCGGGACCGGGTCCCTCCCGGTGGCGCCGCCGTCGCAGAGTAGGCACGGGCCAGCTCGGCCATCGTCGAAAATCTCCGGCACTTCCCCTGCTCGCGATTTGGCCGCCTTGTCCAGGGACACGAACAGAAGGTCGGCGTCCAGAGTTCCTGGGGCCGACTGCCGGACTCAGCAGCCCAGAGGTCGGGAGAACGCGCCAACCACACCACATGAAGGCTGTGCCCAGCAGGTTGTCGGGGTCCGGCACCAGGTCCACAATGGATGGGGACAGGCGCACTGGTTGAGCGGCATCGTCGGCGGCAGGCGAAGAAGCGACATCCCCAAGGCCCGACCCTGCCTCGTCGAGCCCGGGGCCCCCTCAAGGCTTCACCTTGTTTTTGCACTGAGCCGGGGTGTGCTGGCCCCGGCACACCCGCTCCTGCCGAAGCACCACACCGCATAGGTGCGCGCCGGAAGTGCAGTCCTTCTTATTGCACTTGCCCCGCTGGAATTCACGACAAAGCTGCTTGCCGTCCTTCATGCACGACGCCACTTTCTTTCCTGCAATTGTGCCCAAAATCTGGAAGAGAGACTCAGCCTTCGGAGGGGGCATCGGAGCATGCTGCTGACTGGGACTACTCACCGAGGTGCTCGAAGACAAGGGAATCCAATGCGGGTCACGGGCAACGTAAACCTCCTTGATGACCTGCCCGAGGGTTTTCTGCGAGTCCCGGAAGCGAGCCACCCATTCGGTGCGCTCCTCTTGGTCGCGAGCCTGAAGCCAAGACAACCTGTGAGTCGTGGGCACCAGGGCGGCGGTCCTCTTGGCACGAAACCAGTACATCATAACAACATCCACTGGGACCGTCACGAACAAGGCCGAATCTGCCCCGAGGCTGGCCTCGTCGATCGCCGCCGGAGCGGCCGGAACTGCCATAGTACCTGCCATAGCGTACGCCAGGCAGAGCGTGAAGAGCCTATCCAAGTAGGAGTCCGCGTCGCGAGGTCCCGCCTCTTCCGGATCATCATCCTCGGTATAAAGATTGGGGGCAAGCTTTCGTTTCTTGACCGACGAGAGCAACTGATGCTGCAAGCTCTTCACCTTCCACACCGAAAAGATGCATAACATGCGCTTCCCCATTTCCCGGCTCACGCGAGAGATGGTAGCATCGGAAGGGTGTACTTCAGGGGGGTAACGCTGGCGGTACCGCCGCCAAAAGTTGGTCTTCAAATCCCGAAGCTCACCCTTTCCCAGAATACAATCCAAGTCGGCCAAGGCAACCTTCGACCTGTCGGCCTCAGACTGGCTGAAGTAAAGGCGGATTGCAGCCCAACACCGGCGAAGCCGGGCCGCCTGAATATTGTGATCCTCGCCGAGGGCAGTCTTCTTGAGCCACGGGTCCACGGCCGCCTCGTCGGCGAAGAAGTACCTTACTTCCTCCAAGTTCTGCACCTTGGTGGCAAGGAGGGCTTGCACGACCTTATCGTCCAGGCCGAAGTTCAGGCGCAAGGCTTGCAAAGTGGTTGCGATATCCGTCCCGTCCCGCGGGACTAGCGTGACTGACGAGGGTGCGGCCATGGCGGCGACCACGCCCGTTGCGCTGAGTAGCTGCGGACCTGGCGCGCGATCAGACAGAGCACGGCAAAAATCGAGAGAGCGAGAGGGAGAGAAGAGAGGGCAGCACTGCAGCAACACTCGCATGACCCTGGCCCTAACAGCCTGTCCCTCATGCAACTGCCCTTGCCCTAGAAAAAGGGGGAACCTCGGGTAACGCCCGGCCCGGCTCACCCACGTAACCGCGGGCTAGGATAATGGTGCAATGTTCGCACGGCCGCCATTTTTCCTGTCGATGGCGTCCTTAGGACTTGGGGCGAGCTTTCGGCCTGGCAGCGGGCGAGGTCACGCCCAGCAGTGCCGGAGCTCGTCGACGTGGACTCCTTCCTGGCCGATGGCACTCCAGCTCCTACTCGGGCCCTCGCCTGTCTCCGGTGGCTGGTGAAGAAGGCCAAGATGGACCTCGACTTGTCCGACGTCGACGTCAGGTCGAGGACGGGGCAAGCGGGGCAGCCAAGGGGCCAAGCGCCTTGTGTGCCGGACATGCTGGGTTTCCTTGAGGAGAAGATTGAGTTGGCCCATTCCTATGGTGATAAGAAGTGGTCGGCTCTGTTGGGCTCGTGGTTGGTGGCCGCGGGGTGCCTCAGGTACCGCCACTTGCAGTGTGCCCACTTTTCGTCGGGTTGGTCTTGGACTGAGGCCTGGCTTCGAGATTGGCGGGCCCTCTCCCCCACAGCCAAGAAGAGAGCGGGACTCTGCTTCAACAGGGCGGGGAGGCCCTGGGCGATTTCCGAGATCAACCTCAGTGCCCAGGAGGCCTTTCGCGAGATGTTGCAGGAGCCGGCGGACATGACGACATACAGTTGGCGCCGGCTGCTCCCGACTATGGGCCAGCTGCTTCGCCTTTCTCCACAGGAACAGCTGGCTTTGGGAGACTGGGCCAGCAACAACCCGGAGGGCAACCAGATGCCGCTACATTACAGCAGTGCTCGCTACACGACCTCCCTGCGATGCAAGGCGCTGTCTCTGGCCGCGGCATGGGAAGTCCGCGGGCTCGAGGACTGGAGCGCCGTTACAGACACCGAGCTGGGGCGGATCAAGGGAGCTGTGCAGAGCCAGGTCGATGACGTGATCGTGGGCGACCGGACCACTATCTTCCAGGCCCCGGTGACTACCGAGGGTTCCCTGCGCCTACACGGACCTGGCGGTACCGGGCCACCGCGCACCGGTGCGCACGCGCACAATCCTTCTCCTCCAGGCGGCACCGTCCAAGCTGAAAGCCCGCACAAAGGGACTGCCCGTTCTTCAAGAAAGCCGTGAGCACCTTGCCGTTGAGGGTGGCCGGCATCTTCCCCACCTGTTCCTTGGTGGACTTCGCCCCTGCTTGCGGTGGCAATCATCCGGCCGAGGTTTGCTACGACAAGAGGGCCTTGTTGGCACAGACGGCCAAGGAGCCTGGCCCATCAGGGGGAACCGGCCAGGCCATCCTGCCACAGCGGAGGGCAGCATCTGTTCCGGAGCCACCTTCCCTTCCGTTGGTTGCCGAGGCCTCGGGCGCAGCAGCTTCCTCACCGGCTTCTTCGCGCGCAACATCGCCGCCGAGCTCTTCAATCTCCCCGTCGAAAGCAGCACCCAAGGCAGCACCCAAGGTGAAGGCTCGGCCGAAAGTGGCGACAAGGCAGCCCGAGCGGACCGGGCGATGGAGAGGCTCCGGGGCGTCCCCGTGGTGGTGCTTCGGGCGGCGAGCCCGGCAGCTTCTGGTGGTGCCGGAGGAGGCGAGGAGGCCCGTGCGAGGGAGAGCTGGCACAACTACTCCGACCGCCTCGCAACGGCCGGCGGCAAGACAGCGGAGGCTCCCACCGTTATTTGGCAGTCCGGTTCCGGAGGGCGGCTCTTCCTATCCGGCCTCCCGACATCGGCGACACCCCAGTACTTCCCCAAGGTGTCGTTACAGGTGACTTGTTTCGACAAAACGCCAGAGCAGAGAGGCGGCATCCGCGTTGGGGCTCAGGTTGGACCTCAAGAGCAAAGACCGCGAGGAAGCATTTCTGCACGCATTCGCTGACCAAGAATTCCTTATGGTCAGGGGAACACGTTCTCTTCCACTGTATGGCTGGAAGACACCGAGCCGCGACCTATGCCGGCTTGACTCGTTCCCTCCTCGCGTTTGAGAGTCTCCCAGACGCTCTCGAGTTCCTCAAGTCTGTTCGCAACGCCGAGCCGGAGAAGGTCTTGAGCGAGCGCGGCGTGGGGGACTTCGTGCATCGAATGCGCCGCACTATTTCTATTGGGCGCGCGGCCCCGACACCCACGGCCTACCTGGCGACAGCGAGCTCCAATGTCCACGTGGCAGCCCATGACATTCCGCTGTGCAAGCACAACCAGTCGACGTCCAAGGCGCTGCGGCTGAAAGATGCATGGTCCACTTCAGATCGGGAGGAAGCCGTGGGTTGGGGCATCCGCTTCTGCAAGGCCTGCCTCAGATTATCCCCGGCCTCGTGGCATCTGCGGTGATTGGGGGAGCGACCCCCCTTTGGGTACAGCGTCAAGATGGCGCTGGCCTGGCTCGATTTTGTGGGCTCCATAGGCAGCCCGCCGGCCCGGGGCCGCGGCTAGACCAGGGCCGCAAGCAATGACATGCATGGGCTTGTGGCCCTGTCCGCTCGGTCCACGAAACGTGACGCCGTCCTCTCGACAGTCCTCTCCCACTCCCGGCGGAGAGCATCGGCGAGGGGGCCCGCCGGGCGAAAAGCGCCCACCTGCCAGCTTCGCCCGGCGCTCTCGCAGCTCACCACCATCGGGCTGGGGAGGCGCCAAGCGGCCTTGCCGCCCTCGCGAAGTCGAAGAGGGCCTGGGCAGCGGCGGCCGATCTGACGGCGCTGGCCCTCCACTGCCGCCGAAGCTGCCGACATCAAGCAGCCCTCCTGCTCAGCACGAGCCACCGTCCAGGCGTCCGCAACGTGGTGCCTGACCGCCTGCTCGTAGCTGGTAAAGTAGAAAGCGAAGTCGGCATCACGCTGCACCCTGTGCTTCTGGCGCCATTCGCGCACCCGGCTCGCAGCGATAACCTGAAGGGACGTAGCGGCAGACCACGCCCCATCACCCTCCATAGCCTGCACCGCGTAGGCTCCCGCCATGATGTTCCAAAGCCCGAGAGGCCCGAGGCGAACTGCACGAGCCGATGCGCCCTGAGGACAAACCCAAGGAACGAAATCCCGAAAAAGCAAACTCGCCCGGGAGCACCCATCAGCCCAGATGCTACGCGTCCGCTCCCAGCCGACACCTCGGGAATGGCAAAAGTTGGCCATGGTTCCAAGGAAGGGAAGAGGAACGACACAACGGTTACCGACCGCCGGCCGCCCTTCATATAAGCCCACGGAAGAAATATCCGCCAAACATAGCTGACAGAGGGCGGGGATGCGGTTACCGACCGCCCGTCCCCGCCCGGGGGTACCTCCCCTAATGAAGCAGGCTGCTCTCTGAGATCGCCACCCAGCCGAAGTCGCAGCCAAATTCTGGACCAGAGCAACGGAACTGTTGCGATCAAAAGCACCTGCTGCAACACGACAGGCAATCGCGACAGACCGCTGAGGAACAGCGCCGGCAGACCAAAACTGAGGGAACCCCGCAGCTCCGACATGGAGCCGGGAGCACGTCCATCCCGGCTGCCACTGCTCCCAAGAGCAGCCACAGCGCCCGATGAGCCCTGGTCCGGTCGTTGCCACGAGCCTCGGCATAGGACGGAACGGCTGGAAACCCTGGCTCCTGCCAACGTCGCTGCCCATTGCGCCAGAGCCGCCGTAGGACCCAAAGCTCGGCTGAAGACACCGCCCTCGGGTGGGTTTGCTCGGCAACCCTTGCCACCAAGGCCGCCGCATGGTCGGGGAGGATGTCGGACGGCCACAAGCCGGAAGCAGCCCGGGCCACCTCGAGAGGCGAAAGGCGGCTCTCGCAAGCGTGGTAGTCCGCCCAAGCCTGTGCCGGAGCAACACCGGGCCGAACAAGGCCTGCAGTGCGGCAGTGGACTCCGATAAACGGCATTTGGAACCCTCCGCGTCCCTCGCGGCACCGAAGGCAGTCAGGTTCGGTGCAAGGGACTGTCCTGATCGGCCGGAGACCTGCAGGCAGATCGTTGATGAGGTTTGTCGGGGGAGGGCAATGCTGTACTTCCAGAACCGACCCCCAAAGGCGGGCAGCATCCCATGCCCGTCCCTCGGCCACGAGCTGCCGCAGCCTCTCCCATAGCCCCCGTGTGCAATACCTGGGCATTCGTATGAACTGCATAGTTGCAATAAACCCAGAGGAGCAAAGCCGCATCATCGTCCGCCTGAAACATAGCCCGCGGTACCTCCGCGATAGCACAGCTAAAGAAAAACTCTAAGCCGTTCTGGATCACCTTGAGCCAAAATGTCACAAGTGTGGCTTCAAGGTCAGCTTGCAATGAAGACTGCTCACCCAAGCCTGCCTAACACAAAGCAGTTTTATATTTCATCACCTGACCGACAACTTCCAAAACGCAACCGGGTAGGTGGGTAAATTGTTATGCGAAGGTGTCACAAGCCCTCACACCTTATGCAAAAATGTGCCAGGATTAACGGCGGTCTCTACAAAAGACTTTCGTGCGCCAAAAGCAAACCGATCCAACTCGTTGCAACAGACAGACTACAGGCACAAGAAACACGGACAACCGGTTGCTGGTGCAGAATCCGTAACTGGGAACATGCAGCTACCCAAAACACAGCACCTGTCATTCTTGCATCACAGACTAGCACATGCATTCAACAGTGCTCAAGTCTCCTCCTCACTGGCGACATCAACTGCAACAGGCTCTGTCATGACCGCGAGATATTCCAGAAGATCTTTCCTTTTTGAACCTCCTGGATACTTCTCCAGCCTACCGCCGTGCATAAAGAAAACGGATGGGTATGCCTCGATGTTGTGCATGTTACAGCACTGCTCGCCCAAAGTCGTAGAACAGTCGATCCGCGCGAAAGCATGATCTGCCTCGCTAGCTTGTGCCTTTCTTGCAGCTGACTCATAGACGGGCGCAAACTTCTTGCAAGCTCCACAGGAAGGAGAGAAAAACTCCACAAAACCGGACACGTTCTTGTGCAACAACTCCTGTAAAGAAGCTTCCGACTCGAGGTCTATGACTCTAGCGGTGGAAACGGTGCCGAACTTGGATAAATCTGGATTGCTTGGCATCTTCAACGATGGAAGAAGGCGAGCCTTTGCCAAAATCCACTGGATGACACCACGAAAATCCTTTGTCAGAGCACTTTCCCGCTGAGCAAGTTGATCATCTTGTGCCCGGACGGTGCGATCTACGAACTCGCTGACTTCGCCCGCCCATCTCACTCCCATGGATGGCTTTCCCTCGTCGCTCTCCTCAGTGATCCAGGCCATCTACACTGTTCAACTCACCGGGCCGTTGCAGAACAAAACGGACTACAAGCAAGCTCCATTCTCAAGCAAAAAGCGAAACCAATTTCCTTCATCAGATGCAGATCAACAGAGGCACAGTTTCTCGCCGAAGCAGCAGCAGCAGCAGCAGCAGCAACAGCAGCAGCGGTCGCAGCAAGCAGCTGTAGTAGTAGCAGTAGCAGTAGCAATTGGCAATAGCAGTAGCAGTAAGCAGTAAGCAGCAGCGGAAGTAGCAGCAGTTGCAGCGGCAACAGTAGCTGTAGCACTAGCACTAGCAGTAGCAGCAATAGTACTAGCAGTGGCAGCAGCAGCCGTAGCCGTAGCCGTCGCACTGGCAGTCACTAGCAGTAGCAGCAGCAGCCTCGCGAGACCCATCTGCAGATAGGTGGCAAAAGAATTAATTTATGTTAATCTTGGTATCAACCTGCTGACGACCGCTTCGCTGCGGCGTGTCTGCTGTGCCGACAGCAGCCGGAGTTTGCGTCAATGCCAAGCTTACCGCTCCTTTACACCTCGTCGCCACCACGCCCCTCATGCGTCACGAGTGCCATTGTCATCACCACCTCCGCCACTCCTTTTTTGCATCTGGTTTGCAGCGACTCCGCCACTCCTGCCCACGAAAACGCATACACCCCGACATCGGCTCTCAAGGGTCGCTGCCATCACTTCAAAGTGTTACTTGTTTGTCCAGCCTGTGCACAACCGTGGAGCAGCAAGCATCATCCGCGCATAATGTGCTCTATGCAATCTAGGAATGAATGTAGTGTTCGCACATGCAGTTTGCATAGAGCACCTTGCTGGCCGTGCTGCACTCGGGCTTTCTCTTGAAATTGTTGAGGATTCACAAAGATGGCGGATTACAAAGCCTGTGCTTTCGGAGCGCTGAGTGCTGAGTGCCGGGCGATGAGATACAAGTTCGGTGCTGTGAGGCCACCTATACTTGCAGCAGCATAAAGGCTCAAGGGCACTTCGTTGCGCCGTACGTCCAAAGCTCCCAGGAGCGGTGGCCTGGCATGCGCACATCAGCAAATGACTTCCTGTACCGCTGTCACCCACACCGGGCCTCTCGCAGTTCTCACTCAGCCAGGCAGCTAACGTGTCCAATGCTTCCATCTCGTCCTCGAGGTCGATAACCTCCAAATCCACTGTCACTTGCGGCCACTGAGCTCGGCAACAGAACACTCGCAGCACGCACTGTGACGTACACACTGCTTGCCCGCCTCCTGTTCCTGTGAGAGGCTATCTGGCGACTTGAAGGTGTACAAGAGGGTGGCTGGCTGCGCACGCAGTGCATCCTCATGTGTGGCGAAAGAGCCAATGAGGATAATCTTGATTGAAATCTGAGGCTCCTCCAACCCGAGGTTGATAAACTTTCTCCAGAGCTTTCCGGAGGGTGTCGCCTGCGGGCGCTCGGACATCTGTCGTGGGGTCCTCGCGAACAGAGCAGGCTTTGGCCGAAGCAAGCAGACAAATCAGTGGCATCCTTGAGAGGAGGCCGCTGTACCACTCAGTCAGCTGTCTTGCATTGGCCTGAGCTACGGTAAGCTTGTGCGGCAATGAGGCAGCTTGGTCGCTGCATGCAAACTGTCAAACATTGACAAGAATCTACTAGCACATGCAAGCGCCTATTGAGACCGGCACCGGAAGCCCGTGGTCTGCGAAGAAGTATCGAGGGCCGTGTCGGAACCGCTGCGCTACCAGAACCGGCGCAGTCCAGGCGTAAAGCTCCTTCTCGACCCAGTCCGGCCATTTGGCGATGTCAATGTACAGACCGTAAACCTTTTTCTTCTCCTGGTATGAAAATCGTAATGACCCGGCTCAAACACATGGCTTCTTTTCAGACTGTTCTCACACAGATTAAGCCGATTAAGCAAAGGGTCTCGTGCAGTGGCGATGGCTCGTTGGAACATTCTCTTGTGCGGTGCAAATGCCCGCTGCAAGGCATCTGCAGAAGCATCGGCGGCCACCGACGGACCAGCAGCCGAACAGGCCAGCTCGTCCGATCCGCAAGATCTTTCGCTTCCCGGAGAAGCCTCGAATCTCAGCGAGACATCAACGAGAGTGAACAACTTTCAAGGGGGTACTTATGAGGTTTGCAGGCCTGGTCGGTGGAGTTCAAGACCAACCAGAGCAGCTGCGCGTCAGACTCCAGCCGATCCAGAATCCGGTTTACCTTCTTGGCGTCCGATATCATGATGACCGCCTTGGATCAACTCGCCCTGATGAAGGCTGGCACATGTTTGCAGTCGAGCCGCCGGGAGCATGTTGTCTTTGACGAAAGCTTCAAACAGCTCTCCATCGTCGTCAAGGCTGTCTGCCCGTGGGTCGGTCCAAGTAAAATTGTGAGCATCTTGGCCGGCATGCAGGATTTGCGATACTGCGGGTGAGACCTCCGCCTGTATCCAGAAAGCACGAAACGTCAGCTTGTGGTCTTGCGCGAGGGATGCGAATGCCGGCACCATGCTGGGTGAGCGTAGCACCAAATGCGGAAGGGAAGTTGGGTCCAATGTTGGCAACTCGGAATCAGTGCTGATGTTCTGGATTGTCGGGGCAGACACCCGGAGGGTCCAGCTGACGATAGCATCTGCGGAGTTGGCTTCTTTGAACTCCATCCGAGCCTTTGTCTTGTCACTGCCTAAGTAGAAAACTGATGGAAACTCCTGAGTCCCCAATTCCTTCATGATGGACTCTGCTGCTGTGCCATCAACAGCGACGACTTTGATGTCCGGAGCTTCTCGCTTGATGCGTTCGGCAGCATTTGACATGTGAGGCGCAAAGGCTTCGCACGCTGGACACGTTGGAGAGAAGATCTCCAGAAGCATGGAGGGACGATCTTCGCGGTTCAGAATGTACTTCAACTTATCCTGACGGCACCACACTGTAGAGCACATCTGGTCGCGGGAACCGACACCCTAAAACATGCTTCAATGCGATGCTGCTGTGTGGGGGACCGAAGATAAACATTTTGGACACACACACACAAACACACACAACTCACACAAGCCCGCTGCTTCACGTGCGACACCGGCCCTGCAAGCATCGTAGAGTTCCGAGCGTCTTCTGTGTATTTCACAATGTGCTTGCCCAGTTTGACATACCCAACAGCAAAAGGCAGCAAGCTCAGCAGGCAGCTCAACCTGTAGAGGGCCATGGCGCCAGCAATGCTGAGTTTGCCAAATCCCCGCTGGCAGCCTTCCAACGATCGTAGCTGGGGTCGGAGCTATATTGCTGCATCGAGCCTCTACTCTCTGGTGGCCGGCAGGTCCACGTTGTCACGCGTGGAAATCAATCATGCCAAGGCTACCCCCCTAAGTACGGCACGACCTCGGAGCAGCATCGCCTTGACCAGCAGCTGCGCTACTGGGAACCCAAGCCTCCGCAGCGGAAAGCACGGTCCTAAATCTCTGTTTTAATAGCCGGGGCTCCAACGCTTGTCGGTCTATTTCGCAAGCCTCCGGCGCAGGCTCCAACAGACAACGCTGGCAAGAAGTTGCCGCCCAAGTAGAGCCGCAATGCCAGGGCTTAGCTTCCGAGCGATGCCTTCTTCAACATGGACTGGGCGAAGGCATCAGAGGTAATGAGGACTGTAGCTAGCCAATTGCATACCTCAGGCCACACCGGCAGGCAGAGACAGATGCAATGAAGAGAGAAGGCCCTTGGAATTTAAGCATCTAACCGTCAGGATGTTGACGACCAAAAAGAGAACAGCCAGGATGGCTGTGATGCGTGCAGCTAGGACCTAGCCCAGCCTAAACCTAGCTGATGCCATTTCGTGAACAGCTTGCGCCGAGGCCAACGCAGTTGCCCACGCCCCACAGTAATTCGCATCTCGGCTGGCCAGATGCTGTCCGATATTACGTCGCGGTTCCAATTCAGCTGGAGGGCTGTGCTGGGCAGCCTTGTCAAAAGCTGTAATGCCTGGCACAAAGGTCCAGCCAAACACCAGCACCCATGTCCACAGGGTCCTCAGTAAGCACACTTCCATGTCTGCAATTCCCATGGCATAAAAAGCGGCATGCGTTCCAAGAGGCATTCCCAACCAGAGCACAGAGGCAACTCCAGAGGCATTGAACCAAATGGATGCCTTCACTTCATCTTCCAGCAAAAGGGCCTGCCACCCGGGGGTCGGATAAGATCTGGACGCGGACACTTCGACAGTTGCCCCTCGCCTCCTGGATTAGAACCGAATTGCAGACGAAGAGTTCACGAAGTTGTCCGACACCCGGGTTACCGGATGCTTGCGCTTCCTCCCGTCTACTCGTCTACTCATGGGGATCAGGCTCGAAAGCCGCACTGGCTGCAAACCCGAGCCTTAATGCGCCGTTGCAGTCGCTCAGTCTTGACCTGTCGTCGGCTGTGCTTATGTGAACTTATGTGTTCGTCCAGTGCCGACCTAGAGACTGTCAGATCGGTTGCTTTTCTCCTGTGCTGTGTGAGGCGGTCTTCTGTGCAATGCAGCAGGCTCGGACAGCTTGATGGCTAACTCCAAGTGGGACCCCGAAGCGCAAGGCAACAGAATCCAAGTTACAGGAAAATCACGAAGCTGTTGCTGCACTCAGTTCCATTCAGGGCTGAGCCGAATCGTTGCTGCGATTGCAGCGACTTTCGCCCCGAACCATGCAAAACAGCACAGGGGCAAGTTCAGATTCTCACCAAAGCTTTGCTTCTTTTGGAATCGTGTGAGCCAGCCCTAGCGGCTCAGCTGCCGGGCTCAGCCGATATCCTTTGGGACACAGGGTGAACACGGCCCAAATTGCTGAAGGGGGCCATGCTGCTCAGTGCATGCCCGAAGACAGGGCATGGGCATCCTCTTCTCTGTTCTAGACTTCTAGACCTGATGATGTGACTTGTGTCTTTTTCTGACCCCTCAAGAACCCTAAAACACAAGCGGATCCCAAAAGAGCTTTTGGGAATTCCCGCAATCGAACTGCATCTAAACGATATCAGAACCAAAGGCGGGCTCCCTGGTGCCCCGTAGCCACAACTTGTTCATGTTGCAATCCGAATTGAGCGTGTGTGTGTGTGTGTGTGTGGGTGGGTGGGTGTGCGCGCGCGCGTGCGCGTGCGTGTTTGGAAATGACCGTCACCTGATCGAAACCGAACCGAACCCCCTGTGTCTAAACAGGCTTTGGTCAGCGAACCCCTGCCTTTGGACAAGGCCTGCAGAAGCTTCGGGGATGCTGCTGCATACGATCTTCACATTAGCTCACATGACCGTCTCTTAGACCTACCGTCATGGAGTGAATCGAGTGGCGGAACTTTCTGAGACAGAGCCTGCCCATGCCAAGTATAATTGCCGGCCGATGCTGCCCTCATATTACGAGACCATTGGGACAACCGACAAATGCGACTGCCCTCTCCAACTCCAGGTTAACGATTGCAAACCTCAGGCCGACGAAATCGAAGCACACGGATGTCGGACACCAATCCGGGACTTCTTGAGGCACAGACAGGAAGGCAAAGGGAATAAATTGACAGCGAAGACACTACTCCACCAACTGAGGACTGTGAACTTTGTCGAGCAGTGGGGCCAACCTTTCGAGCAGGTTAATGTTGAACTGGATCGATCCACTGCCGTCTAACTTCCAGATTCCGGCTGAGAGGCCACTCACCCAATTTGCGATAGCCTTCCCCTGATGGATGAACGCCATCTACAGACCACCAACGAGCGTCTGCTTGAAGCACTGGCATTGCGGAGTCCGCAGACAGTGCCCTCAGCACGCGAGAAAAACTTGACCCGGTCATTCTTTGTCTACAAATAGCCAACAACATGCATAAACCATGTCATGAGAAAGTCACCGAGTCTCCTGACAGCTCCAGTGGCTTCAAGTAATGTCTTTTGTGCCTCGAACTGGCCGAAAAGTGCCTTGGCCCCAACAGCGTACGGAGGGAACATCTTTTTCCTAGCCGCATCTCAGCCAAGCTCGCTGCATCCACCAAATGGCACATTGGCCACTGCTGAAACAAAGGGGCTTGCACGTGACCTCAGAACTACGGCACGTGAACACGCAGACACGCATGTCAACTCTGCGTCAAGTTGCCGAGGAGTTGTGGAACGGTGATCACACTCTCTGGAGCAGCTTTCCTCAAAGTGCCACACAGGGCGGCCAGGTCTTCGCGAAAATGCGAAGGCCATCGGCCTGACAGACATTGCATGCAGCAGCGGAGCATGCGTACTCTCCAGCTTGCTTCCACAAGGTCTAGCTTCACAAGCCTTGCAGAAACTTCTTGCCATCGTTGACTCCGCACAAAACCACGGCAATATCAAAGCTGTGGTCTTCATCGACCAAAGCATGGAGCTCACGTACATCTGCACCATTGGCTGCAATTGTGCACCATTCCACAGGTCGCCGTTGGATCTTAGCCAACCGCTCTGCGCATGCAGCTTGCAAAGGAGCTGCAATCTTTGCACCAACACCAACGGCAATGGAATCACCCACGAAGAGCAGCTTCAAGGGCTTTCCATCATAATGGCGACCCGCATGGCCATGACGCTCTCCAGGTGGTTCTCCTTCTACGCATGCATTTCGCAGAATGGACCGTCGGTCTGCACCGTTCAGAGACCAGGACAGTTGACAGACGCGCCTGGACAGCGGTACCTCCACCTGAGGTGGGCCGCCTGAGCTGCACCCGCCATGGACACGCCGGCTGCTGCCATCCCCAGGCCACGCAGTGCTCTTCGCATTGAGCCGGACATCTCCAGGTTTCCTGTCAGAAACAATTGCAAGAACAAAAGCGGCACCTGGCCGATTCAAAAGCAACCATTTGGACACTCTCCTGTTGAGATCAGCAGCACGCTGAAGGAAAATTCTGGACCTGAGGGCCCGAAGCCGAGCTGGATGCCCGCAAGCGAGCAGCAAATGCATCAAAGTCAACACGGTAAGCACGCCTCGGCCAGCATCAGCCAAAGGCTTTACAAAAGTCTGAGGGCAAAAGCTGCGGCCAGCAACGAAAAAAAATGATTCACAAGAACACAGGCGGTTGCATCACCTGATCGACTCACCGGGTTCGGGACATCTAATGCTGTCTTTCCCTGGGAAATCTTCCAGGCTACCATGCCTGCCAGAGTTCCTCATGCTACATCACGGACGCAACCAAGAGCTTCAGCTGAGCATTTCACCGTTGCAAACTCCAAGGACAAGTGCCATCAGCACTTGAGCCTTTCAATGCAGGGAGAGTTGTGGACACGCTCCCATTTGTGGGAAACGACGACGGCCTTCACCCACATGGTCATCGTCGGGATTGAGCCTCAGAAGAACTCTCCTCCCTGGCTTCCGCACCAATCACAAAGAGACAATGCCATCCAGGCACATGCAGCACCATAATCTTGCCACATCGCCCAGCCACACCTGCAGATCTGAGCATTTCTCCACGATGGCCACTGGCCATTCAGGCACAGAGGCCCCTGCAACAGCAGGACCGGCAGAACGACCAGTGTGTTTTGCCTCGGCATGTCATGGTTTGAAGCCACCGATCCTGGGAGACAACCTTCTGCTACAAGCAAAATACCACAGCCGAGAACGTGGCATGCGCAGTGCCGACATGGAGATGTTGAGCAGTGTTGGTGATATCAAGCCAGCCAGGAGCATTGATATCTGGCACGACATCCAACTTCAGAGAGGCCATGTCGAAAACAGACCCTGTGGGCCCTAGGCCCTAGGCAGCACAAATGAGGACAGGCTGCACAGATAACATTCTCTGAGAACTGCGGCGCGAAGAGATCCATTTCATCTTCTAAACGATCTAGAAGCAGATCTTCGACAAAGTGGCTCATGAGCTAATGACTGACCACAGAACACAAAAGAATGCAAGCAAGAATTCAAGCTATGTGCCCGGATGACTGGTGGAAAGTTGGAGGAGAGGGCCTTGTCCTCGGCCGCAAGCTGCATATATGCTCTCGGGTCCAGGGCC